AAAAAAAAGAACTATACTAGTACTCACCCTAACTCTAACCTTTAATAGAGGATGGTTGAAGAAATTCACATTCTATACATCTTGCACGGTCTAGATTTCTTTTAAAAATAAAAAATCGAAATAAGTTATTGTCGCAGCTGATGCTGAAATTTGGGGTCTCGATTTGAAACTATAAGCTCTGCCAAAATCCACATATACTCTTTAAATATCAAATATAGCCCTAAATCCCAACCTAACCATAAAAAAAAATTGTACAAAACACATCCCAAAAAGATTTTAAAATTTTATAATAAAATAGATTCAAATTTTAGCATCAGCCAATTTTAGTATCAGCCATGACAGTTATTTTTCTATAGCCCTATCTGAAAAAAAGAACTATGCTAGTACTCATTCTGACCCTAAACTTTAAAAGTGATGTTTGAAGAAATTCACGATTTATACGCTTTGCACGGTCTAGATTTTTTTTTAAAAAAAATTAAAATGTTATTTTTCTATAGCCTATCTATAAAGAAGAGCTATGCTAGTACTCGCTCTAACCCTAAACTTTAAAGGAGGACGTTTGAAGAAATTCATGATTTATACACTTTGCACAGTCTAGATTTTTTTTTTAAAAAAAATTGAAATGTTATTTTTCTATAGCCTATCTATAAAGAAGAGCTATACTAGTACTCACCCTAACCCTAACTTATAAAAGGAGATGTTTGAAAAATTTAAATTCTATATGTCTTGCCGATCTAAATTCAAAAAAAAATTGAAATAAAGTTATTATATATAATCTAATATGAAAATGAACTATAATAGCACTTACCCTAAACCTAACATGAAATTCTATATAGCTTGCACGATCTAGATTTAAAAAAAATAAAAAATAAAAATAAGCTATTTTTCTACAACCTCTTCTATTATAAAAAAAAAAAACTATGCCGTTACTCACCCAATCGAAATTTTTACAGGAGACACTTGGAGAAATTTAATTTTATATAGCTTTCACAATTTAAATTCAAAAAATAAGTTATTCTCTACATACCCTTAATATAAAAAAGAGCTATGTAATACTTACCCTAATCTAACCTTAAAGTAGAACGCTTAGAGAAGTTTAAAAAAATAAATAAATAAATAAATAAGAAATAAGTTATTTATTTTACTTATAACATGCCTTAACATAAAAATGATATGATACTTAACCTACTTAATTCTAATCTTCAAAAGAAATGCCTAAAAGTCCTATGCTTATTAACTCTAGTGCAGTTAAATTAAAATTCTATGCTAAAGTAAATTTCTTGAGTAACATTAAATTACTATGTAATTTGAGCGTTCTCAAGTAGCTCTCTCAATGAATTTGATAAAAAATTCAACCAAACAGATGTTTTTATCGAATTCATTAAGAGGTGCTTAAAAATATTATAGTCATACTTTATAAGTTATTATTAATCTAAGTTTTAATTTGAGCATTAATTTGTATATCAATTTGAGATTATTACATATTATGCAAGAATAAATATGTGCTATATCAACTATTTTTTGTTAGGGCAATTTCGCTTATCATGTTTCTTGCTTTTACAAATACTGCATTGATGAGAAGCACAGGATGAAGTACGTGTACGTTTCTTTGGTTTTCAATTGCTGATTTTATACGCTTTTTAGAGGGCACCCTTTCCCAATATATTTAAATAGATCCTGAACATCTAGTTGTATCGTTCTGATATCTTGATTATTCTCTGTATCTTGATCACTCTCTGTATCTTGATTACTCTCTGTATCTTGATTATTTTCTGCAATTTGATCATCATTCAGTTCCTGTTCTATAGTTCGTTTGTCATATTGTGCTTTCTCATAGATGCGTATCCATTCCTTAAATATTTCTATTAAAATCTTTGAATCATTTAAATCATCGTAATTAACTACTTCTACACATTTACGGGCAAGTCCAAGCAATGTTTCTTTAATTGATTGTTTGCGGCCAATCACTTTTGCTACAGTTTGTACAGGAGATTCAATAAGCATGGTATTCCACAAATCAGCAACATCTGGAAAAGAAGGTAAGGATGGTGTTGAACTGTTTTTTTTTAATGATTTGTTTCTAACAAATAGCTCATCAGCAACCACCGCGTCTATAAATTCATCTTTGTACCAATGTCTTAGAATAAGAAAAATATAAAAATAGGCCTTTTCAGACTGTAAAAGAATATAAAACCAATGATGACAAACTACTCCACTATCAAATGAAATCCATTTTTTAATAGCACTACATTCTGTCCAACATGTGAATTATGTTCGATTGATTGAACATCCCAAACTTCAGCAACTAAGGAATAATCAACCCCTTCAAGAAGTT